AAGGCAGACGGCACCATTGACAAGTTTAAGGCGCGCTGGGTCGTACGCGGCTTCGACCAAGAGCACGGACGCGACTTCACCGAGACATTCGCCCCGGTCAGCCGACACACCTCACTACGAATTCTCCTTGCGATCGCCGCCATGAAGAAAAAAAAACTGCGGCAAATCGACGTCGCCAACGCATTTCTCTACGCACCTGTTGACGCAAAAATCTTTGTCGAACTCCCACACGGTTCCCACAGAGAACCTAACCAAGTCTGTCAGCTGCTGAAGTCATTGTACGGCATCAAACAGGCCCCAAGACTGTGGCAGCAGTACCTACACGCTCGACTTACTCGCATCGGATTCCGGCAGCTACCCCACGACCAAGGCATGTACCGGCTCACGAAAGTCGACGACTATATTATACTAATCGTCTACGTAGACGATCTACTCTACATCGGGTCGACCGACAACGTCACTACCTGGTTCGAAGGGGAGTTACAGAAAGACCTCACGCTCACAGTCTCATATACCGTCACGCAGTACCTCGGCCTCAACATCCAGGAAGGAGAAAGCGCGATCTACCTCAACGCTGCAAAATATGCCGACACCATCGCCAAACGCTTCGCACTCTTCCCAACCACCATCTCCACGCCATACCGCTACACCGACGGAAATCGAAAGACCTCCGCCCTACTCAAACCTACTGGCGTCCGCGACTACCAAAGGAAGCTAGGCTGCCTACTCTTCGCAGCCGTCACCTGCCGACCAGACCTATCATACTCCGCAAGTCAACTCGCCACCTACCTCAAAAGGCCTGAAGTTGAACACATGACGGAACTCGACCGCGCTCTTCACTACCTCGTTAGCACTCCAACGATCGGCCTGACCTACTACAAGAACAGAACTACAACGCCCAAGCTAATCGGCTACGTCGACGCCGACCACGCCGGAGATTCTGACAACAGACGCTCGCGCACAGGCTACATCTACCGCCTCGAGCCTATCGGACCTATCTCGTGGCAGTCGAGTAAGCAGGAATTAATCGCTCTCTCCTCAGCCGAAGCAGAATATATCGCACTCTACTCAGCCACCAAGGAAGGATTGTATCTTCGCGAACTCCTGGAGGAGGCGAAGCTGGCTCAGTTACCCAGCTTCTCCCTGTTCTGCGACAACCAGTCGGCAATTCGGATAGCCAACAAAAACAGATTCGCGAACAGGACGAAGCATATCGCCCTGCGATATTTCTTCGTGAAGGACGAGATCGAGAAGGGGAGACTTGAGCTATCTTACTGTCCCACGTCCGAGATGGCAGCTGATTACTTGACCAAGAAACTCGGAAAACATAAGTTTGAGTATTGCATGCTGCTGACTGGACAGAGCCACGTCACCAGCAGCGACACTCCAGAAGCAAAGGGGAGTGTTGGAAACAATTGATTTAAGCGCCTCTGTCGTGTCGAAACACCAAGTCAGAAGCGAAGCAGAACATATCGAAGCATCAGCGAGTCAACCCTCGGAGGTTGAACAACTGCTGGAGGTTACGCGAAAGTCAAATGTCAGCGACCTTTGACCTGACAAGTACAGCGCGACAGCAAGGACAAACAACTGACTCGCTATTGAGCAGTTGCCCGAGTCGTCACTGTATCGAACCGCAACAGCAATGGTAAAACGGTTATTAGTTATAAACCTTCATATTCCCTTGTATTCTTATAAAAGCTTGTATCTCTTTGCTATTAATCAATCTACTTTGCCCTCACTGTCAAGATGTCAAGATACTAAGCACCTAGGAAACTAGGTTTAGGCTTAGGATGCTTAGTTAGGAGTAGGAGCTAGGGTTTAGCCTTAGGCAAAGTAGAAGTCCAAGCAAAAGGAGTGATTCAACTATAGAATGACAAGTACAAATAGAGGAGAAGCATGCAAGGAGTGGTGCACCACCACACAGGACAATAATGGGACTACACTACAGCTAGAACTACATGCGCTTATACAGAACATATATCAAATATATTCTGACACACCCCCTAAGTGCATGCAGGAATAGCCATGTGCAGAACACCCCCTAAAGTGGTACACCCTGCAGGGCGCAGCAGAAGAAGAGGCGAAGTGAGGAGGAGGGGGAAGAACTGTGAGAGGAGAGGAGATAGGAGGCGGCGGCTGAAGCTGCAGACACACGGGCGACAGGAGCGGCTGGCACAGTGGCTACCGGAACAGCGCCCCGGACTACTGGAGTAACTGGCTCGGCGGCTACGAGGAGCGGCAAGAGCAACGAACCCACGGGCGACTGGCGTAGCAGGCTCGCTGGGCTACCGAGAGCACGAGGGCCCCGGACTACTGGCGCTGCTGGCGACACGACGGCTACCTCCGTTCAACTTCCCCCATTGCCCCACACCCCCTTCTATAACACTAGCGCCACTCCCTCGGCTCCCCCACACTCCCTCGGCTCCCCCCACACCCTCCCCCCCTCAGCAGCAGCTGCAGCAGTGGGAGAGAGAGAAGGAGGAGGGGCAGCTTACTCACACCCGCCACCCCCAGCTCCCCCCACACTCCCTCGGATTCCCCCACACCCTCCCCCCCTCAGCAGCAGCTGCAGCAGTGGGAGAGAGGCCACCCCCATACCCTCCCCCCCACTGCTGCACGCGCAGCATGGAGATGAAGGGGAAGGGTGGGGGGGGTGGGCGGGGGGGCGGGGTAGGAGGTGCGCGGGCGACAGCAGGGCGCGCTGGCGGGCAGAACCCGTCGCGCGTCCAAGGCGCGCGACGGGCAGAAACCGTCGCACGCCCGGGGCGCGTGACGGGCAGAAACCGTCGCACGCCCGGGGCGCGCGACGGGCAGAGAACCGTCGCACGCCCGGGGCGCGCGACGGGCAGGAAACTGTCGCGCGTCCGGGGCGCACGACGGGGACGAAATCGCCGCACGCCCGGGGCGCGCGACGAGCAGAAAATCGACGCGCGCCCGGGGCGCGCGACGGGCAGAAAACCGACGGGATCCGAAATCGACGGGAAGAAAACCGACGGGCAGAAAAAACGGGCAGAGGGGCCCATGAGCGGAAGCGTAGTAGGCATAGGATCGAAACACTCTAATACCATGTCAAGATACTAAGCACCTAGGAAACTAGGTTTAGGCTTATGATGCTTAGTTAGGAGTAGGAGCTAGGGTTTAGCCTTAGGCAAAGTAGAAGTCCAAGCAAAAGGAGTGATTCAACTATAGAATGACAAGTACAAATAGAGGAGAAGCATGCAAGGAGTGGTGCACCACCACACAGGACAATAATGGGACTACACTACAGCTAGAACTACATGCGCTTATACAGAACATATATCAAATATATTCTGACACTCACATACTAGCGCAAGGAGGTTCACAAGTCTTCATTTAACGCTTCCGCTATTACATTGTCCTACCCCGAATTTAGTCCTGCAAAGATCCTAAAGGGCTTTCTCAGCCCAACATTTTGCCCTCTTGGCTGCAATCAACCTATGGTTTGTCGGTCGTGCAGATGCTTGCGGCCCATATGGGGTGCTGCAATAACTAAATAATAGGCAACATTCTCAACTCAATTCAAGAGGGCTCACCTATTAAATGGTACATGCCAAGGTTCTTAGAGATTGTTGCCTTCCTGAGTTATTAGCAGTAGTGTTAGTATGTTTTCTCAAAGTGTTCCAAAAACATAAAACGGTATGTAAGGGCGCGTGTGATTTTTGATTTTGCCATAAGTTTATGTTTTTTACTCGATTTAAGCATTTTGAACATGACTCGACTTTGAGCATTGGCAATGTTCGAACCGCAGGTGACAATGCTTGTAGATTCACAATCACACACGAAAGTGCGAATTTGCAGGTTCTAGCTTACAGGGGGGGGACCGAGCCGCCTATAGGGTGCGTAGGTTACCCGGTATTCTTCTATTGACAGCGCGACACGTCAACGAATCGCCCCTAAACAAAATTAACGCTAGACCTCCACCTCGACATTGCTACGCACTCACGAACCGTCATCGTGCCACGATGCATGCCACGTGGTGGGCTTTGCTCGGGGGACTCTGCTACAGGTGTCGTAAGTGCCTCCATTGGTGCACGAAAGAGTCACGAGCTTCGCTGGTTCCTCGTACGTGCCTGAAACCACACACGTTCGGTTCAGTGTGCTACACAAAGTTTGTGCATATATTCGAATCTTGTTCACATTTGTATGTTCGCACCTGGTAATCTTGAAATTGGAGTCACCATTGGCGAAATCTCCTGCGAACATTGGCGAAACTGGTTACCACCTAAAGTTCGACCTTAAATACGAACCCCAAAAAAAATCACACGCGCCCTAAGTAATCAGTCTGGCGTTCGTACCGAGTATTGGGCAGTTTCCATTCAGTAAAAGGGGTTGTGCAGTGTGCTCTGCAGAACGGGTTTCGTGCTTCACTTGAGACAACGCATCAATCGAACATCCTCGCACTGAGAGTTGACCCGCTAGAGTCAGCTTCGATTGGGTTGCAATTTGTGCTTTATCGCATGCACGACAATGTCTGGCAGAGTGCTTTGACTACGGTATAAGCCTCCTTTTGGAGTTTTATTCAATTGATATTGATACACACATTTTCGCCATGCCATCACTCTCCCATCACTCCCTGTTCAGCAAAATCTGAACTGATTAGTACGGATCAAAGAGACTGGGAGATGCAGCATAGCCCGTGCCTGCTGAATATTTTGACGCCAAGCCCAACCCATACCGTGCTCGGCAGTGTGCTGCTGCTGCGCTGGCAGCTGCTGCTGCAGGATCCATTCCGGACAGAATCGCCGTCGGCTTCGCAGCAAAGGCATGGCCAGGCCCGCCCAATGCATGGCTCGGCCCGCCCCAAGTGCCGCCCATGTGCGAATCCAGCCTTCCCATCCCATCTAGTCCTGGCAAGCTAGATGCAGCTCCTAAGCTGCTTAGCACTCCCACCCCCCCCATGCACCCCATGCTCCCCATGCCCCCCGTGCCCCCCATGCCCCTCATGCTCCCAAGATTCCCCATGCTTCCCAAGCCCGAGCCTAGTCCATGGCCTGGCAAGGCCTGTGAAAACATGCCCCCATGGAGGCTGAGCCGGGGAGAATCCAGCATGTGAAGCCGGTCATCAATGCCGCCGCCGTAATGCATCGCAGAAGCTGCTGCAGCAGCGGCCGCAGCAGCTGTGGCGGCAGCGGCGGCAGAAGCACCAGGAGGGTCATATAAGGCGGAGGAAAAGGCGTGCGGGGAGAGGGATGATGTGTGTGGATACGAGGGAAGTGCGGCGTGTGCGTACACGTGTGAGTAGGACTGAGCCTGCGAGTGGGAGATCTGCGCGTGGGCGTGCGAGTGCTGCGCTGCAGCGATCTGGTACTGCAGCCGCTGCAGGCGGCGTGAGAGGTCGGTGGCTTGGGATCGCAGCAGGCGATTCTCCCGCGTGATCTGGTTGAGATTCTCTGAGGCAGTTGTGAGGCGCGCCGCCATGTCCGTGTTGTGGCCTTGCAGCCTGCACGCCTGCAGGGGTGGAGCATGGGGGATGGGGGGGGGGAGGTGCGGGGAGTTAGTAGTTGTTAGGAGCAAAATCATGTGGGACGAGCAGGAAGCGACAGACGCACGACCGGACGGAGAGAGGTGGGAGCATGCATGCGTTCTCGGGCCCCGCCATACCTCGAGCTTCATCGCATCCATGTGCGTTTGCTTGCGCAGTCTCGACCGCCGAGCAGACTCCCGGTTGCTCACCATGCGCCTCTGCTTCCTGTCCTCCCGCGCATCCTCCCCGCCCGCGTATGGCGGAACATGGCTTCCCCCTTGGCTCCCCGTTTGCGCCTCCTCCCCTCGCCGTCTGGCTCCCCCATGGCTTCCGGCCACCCCCGACGCGCAGCCCGCTTCTCCCGCCACGGGAAACGCCGCCGCGTGGTTTCCCCCGCCCCACGCGTCTGCGCGGACGCACGGCGCGGTGTCCTCCCGCCAATCCGACCCGCCTCCAGAGACATTGTCGCTTGCGACCGTCGCAGCATCTCCAACAGTAATCGCGGGCGACAGCACTGCCGTCCCAAGCGACCCAACCGTCGCTGATGCGACGCCGGAGCGATCCACGCAGGCCTGGCGCTTCGGCCCGTTCGCGCGCTCCGAGGACGGCCCGTAGCAGCCCGTGCTGCTCGTCTCGCGCGCGCGCGTTCTCCGCTGATTGGCTTCCGCAGCAACCGTGCCCTCCCACTCCCTCGCGACGTCCATGCTCAACCACTCGTCGTCCTCGTCCGCACCCTCCGCTTTCGCTGCCGTCGCCGCAAAACCCGCCGCCGCATTCCCCTCCGCAGCGCCGTTGCTCGCCATTCTCGTCGCAGCGGGGGCAACGCCCCCCGCGCCGCGCGGGTCCATCCATCGCGGCGGCGCGTTGACGCCTGACGATCGGCGCGCCGATCGCGGGGACGATCCCCACGCGTCGACCGCCATCGATGGCATTATCGCGACGGTCGCAGCGTTCGTAATGCCGCTACCTGCGGCGCCGTCTCCGCTACCTTCCCCGTCATGGCGATCAGGGTTCGGTGGACTGAAAACCCTCTTGCCGCCGCCGTTGCCGTTGTTGTGGCCATCCAACACATGATCAAGACCCGCTCCGCCATTGCCGTCGCACTTGGCATGTCCGCGGCTCCACGCTGAGTCGCTCCCTCGCGCCGATCCCCCCCAGGACCCGCCATAGTAGCAGTCGCCGGGAATTGCGGCGGCGGTCGTGGCAGCGGGAAGGTGCGTCATGGCGAGAGCTGTCGCACCCGGCGACATGTCGCGCGGACGGTGCTTGTAGTGAACGGGACGGGATGCGACGGCGGATGGACGGGAGAGGGACGAGGCAGACGAGCGGAGTGTTGGCAGACGAACGGAGTGCTGAATTGAAGACCGACTCGCCGCGTGCAATATGGCCTAGTGACCTTCGAGTATCCTAAATTGGGCGGATCTGTTAGATTAGCAGTGACGGGGTTGCGAAAGATGCGTGATTGCACCGCACTCGCACTACTAGCAGTAGTAGATCGTCATGTACGGGTGAGATGCGACTCGATGGTCGTGGCGCCTGACGGTGACCGTCAGTCGGAGCTCGTCTACGTTCTAGTAGATCGACTTGGTAAGGAGCAACGGTGTTAGCGAAGGAAAAGCCGATGGTGCTAGAACTTCGAACCTTGCGATCAATGGCCGATAATGTTTCTCTTTTTCGACTTCATGCGGCTTCAGATGATTCTAGCGGAACGCATTGTGGAGTGAATTTATGTACAGGCTCTAGGAAAAGGACCTTCTGAAAAGGCAAAGCTTGTCCTGAGACATATACAATCATGCCCCTTCTGCCTTCCCCTTCTCCCAGGAAAGTCGTTGTCACTCACTCCTCGCTACCCTATCCTCGATCCCTGAGGGTCCTTATCCGCTTCGACGGTTCGACAATGAGTCATTGCTGCGGCGCGGCGGTTCCTGCCAACACTCTCCCCGCTCTCTCTACACTTCCTCTGGTCTGGGCTCTGGCCTTCAAACTCGAGCTGGGAAGCCTGAACGATCCTTCTAATATTTTCCTCGGGTGGAAGCATTCTGGTCTGGACTCTCTGGATAGAAGCGAGAATTTTGCTCAATCCCGCGGAAGCGCGGTTTGGTTTATTTTCGCCACGTGGCGAGCCTATGATCGCGTGAACCGCGATCTGTTTTATTGTTATCACAAACTTCAAGCGAATTTTAGTTAAGTTCTGAATTCTGCTGCCCGCGGGCAAAAATAAAACCCCTATAGGTAAGGCATGCGTTAGGGATGCATCAACCCTAAACTCCTAGAGGCAAGGTGTTTAGGTTTGATGCCTCCCTAACGCATGCCAGGCCCAAATGGGTTTTATTTTTGCCCCCGGGCAGCGCAGTACAGAACTTAACTCATTTTCTCTTGAGGTTTGTGATAACAATAAAACAGATCGCGGTTCACGCGATCTAAGGCATGCCACGTGGAAATAATAAAACAAACCGCGACTCCGCGGGATTGAGCAAAACTCTCGATAGAAGCTTGGCGTTCCGGGCGGGGCTTGTTTGTTTCCTCCCCCCTGATACATTCCCCTCCAATCATCTCATCCACTCGTAAATGTGTTGCTCCGAGGCGCGACTTGGATCGGGTTTGATCGAGTGGCGCACGCACTACCTTCCAAGGTTTCTACGACGCGGTGGGTGGTGTTGCGCTGGTGATGAGGGTGTGTGTCGTGAGGGTGAGAGGAAATGACGAATTGCCCTGTTTTCAATTTTCCGATTCCTTTGGGAAGTGGCTTTGACACCGCCTTGCTTCTCCGCTCGCATCCGATTCCTTGGGGCAGCTGATTTCGACATTTCCAATTTCCTGTGACCAGGAAAATTCTGAAGTTTACCTGGTTTTAGTTTAGTGGCCAGTGGAAAAAATAAACCCCTCTCGGATGGCTGGCCATTTGGGAAGCATCAACCCTAAACACCTTGCCTCATGGTGTTTATGGTTGATGCCTCCCAAATGACATGCCCTCCATGAGGGGTATATATTTTTTGTCCCGAGCTTCTCGTAATTGACGTGACAATTCAATTTATGTTATCCCGATAAATAAACACAATATTATTCTCTGGACTCAAAAAGGGGCAATAGCGTAAATAACTGACTGAAGGTATCAGACTTGAGCGCAAAGCAAGGCGGTGTCAAAACCACTGCCGAAAGGAATCAGAAACCCGAAACCAGGGCGGTCCGTCATTCCCTCTGAGGGTGAGCTAGAGTGTCAAGGATGCCAAAATATTAGGGGAAGAAGCACTGTGCTGTAATAAATAAATGCTCTTTCGAACCAGCGCCCCGAGTGTTCACTCTATCCAGGCGCATTGGCTACGCTTGGCAATCAAGCGAGCCCGCGGGCAGAATATCTGGCCGAGCAAACAATATGTCAACACTCCGGTGGGACACGTGGATTGGGTTGCTTTCCGCTTTCCGCTTTCCGCCGTCCCTTGGCTGGATGGTTGCCGCCCGCCGCACCTCAGCTCAGCACGTCATGTTCTCCATAATCGTGTCACCATGGCGGAAGATTAGTGACGGGGAGGGGAGAGCGACGAGACCAGCGTTTTGCTCCTGGGGCCCTCCCTGCTCCTTGGGCCTTGAGCTTTGGCGCAGTTGATCACCACTAGTCCACCTGGCGCGGCTTTTCTCACTTCTCCTGCGCTTCTCCTACACCGCAGTTTTACAGTGCGAGGCCTGTCTGATCAGCTGGCAGGATTGGCTGCGAATTGATCACAACCGCTACTGGGACGGGAAAGATGCAGCGCACAGCCTGAGCCAGCCATAGCCACAGCAGTAGCCACAGCCACAGCTTGCTTGCTTCGGCTTGCACGAGGGAAAGGATTGTGATCAACCGCTTCGAGCCGCGCCTGGGGGGAGTGTATGTTGGGGCCTGGCCGGGGGGACCGGGTGTGGGTGCAGTGGGGGCGAAACTGTTGTGGCTGGGGCAGGACGAGTGCAAGGAAAAAATATCGAGCCGCAATTGTACAGAACATGGATTCCCTAGATCCACACACCCGCCACACCACACACATAAATGCAACTAAACGGTACAAAAATATGGGCTGGTGAAATAAAAAATCAGGCATTCTGGTTTCCTCCCTTCCACGAAAATATGTCCGAAATGTAGCATTTGCCTGCGAATGAAGCAATTACACGATGCCATTCATTTTTTTTGGAAGTTTTTTTGTGCACGGATTAAACCAGGCCCAGCAACCCAGGGTTCACTTGGTGGTCAGCTCAGCACGGTCTCAACTCCGAGTGAGTTTTTGGGGCACGTCATACAGCATTACTGCCACGCCTGGATGAGCTGTAAAGGCAAACACAGTGGCAGCATGTGGATAAGGTTCTAGCAGCAGATGCGGACCTCGCGCTTGTCCGTCAACAAATCGTGGACTCATTCCATGCTTTGAAAAATATAATGACGTCCTACACTTGTAAGCATTCCAAATAACTCTCTTAAGCTGGTTCTACCGAAAATCGTCCCTAAGCAATCCCCCATCTCTATGTACCTTTTACCACCTTTATATTCCACTTCTTACCCCAAGCCCTTCGCTTATTCCAACTTCACTTATATGGCATCGTGTGCGGCACTCCGAATTTTTAACACTTAAAGGCCGAGCCCCGGATGACTCGACGTAGGTCTAACGCGAAATAGTTTGGGTTTGGAAGGCAGGTTCATGTAGTTTGCAAAACCCTCGCACTCGCGAAACCATGCGCTCGTAACACTTGGCATTCAGTTGCTTCCTCGGGGAGGATGTACGGAGCAAGTTGGAGTGGACAGTGGTGTTGACGAGAAAAGGCCCCGTCCTCGCTGGGGCGAAGTCGAATTCGTTGTCCTGTGCGCAAGGTGTGCAGTCGGCTGAGTTTCGTGGTCGACGCCGACTTGGAGAAGGAAATCAGCGTCATTGGTTTGTTGACTTCGACAAAGCCGACCACAGCAAAGCCGAGCATGACGAAGCCGATGAGGTATTTGCATAATTTTTATATAACTAGCTGTAATGTAGTCGTAGTGTACTTATGTTTCATGTTGGTGGTGCACCCCTAGTCCTTATTTTTGCCTGTATGTACTCTCAATTCTATGGTGAGTCGATTCTCTTTCTCAAACTTCTCGCCATGCTCATCGCTCTCAACATTCAACATTCATAAGTTCAATTAGTCTTGTAACAGTGTTGACCGACAAGGTAAAGTCGGCGGGTGGCGTCGAGCCTCGGCAGTCGACGAAAGTGATCGTCGACATGGCGCCGACCTACGGATGTCGGCCGGCCAATTGGTGTTGGCAGCACCGACCTAGCAACCTTCCACAGGTCGACCAAGTAACTGGTCGGCGAAGTTCTGTGGCGGCGCGAACTTCGCCCCAAGCAGTTTTGGCGAAAGTCAAACTGCATGACCAGCATCACATGCTCTACAACCTGGCACCTGCGCAATGTCCATCACGTGCACGACGTGCACGCAACCGTCTGTTGTACAGACTTGGTAGGCGACGCACATGTGCGCACATGTTCACCCATGATTGCAGTGCCAGCAAGCCGCATTGCTGCAGCGTTGGCACACCGCCTTCCAGTTGCGTTGGCACGCCGCCTTTGTGCTACGTTGGAAGCCGCCTTGCTAGGTTGCTGGTTGTGTTGCCTTCTTATGTACATCGGCTTTGCCTTGCCATGGTGTGCTTGTTCGATCTCTTTTCTTAGTGAAACTCTTGCTAAATTCACCTACGAACACAACAAGTAGTGCGGACATATGCAACGCTCTTATCACCCGTACACCCCGTGACCTCCAACGTAGTCCACCTCCCATTATAGAGTGACTCTCCGCATGGGGAGCGGGAGCACGGCGGAGGAGGAGAAAAAGAGGGAGGGGGTCGCACGATGGTTGACAAGGGGCAAGGCATAATCTTCTTGTCGCGGCGATGCCATATCTTGCGCTCTCGTAAACAACGGCCCCCCGCCTTAGGATGGTGATGGTTGGTCGTAACTATAAGTGTACACATATATTTTGTATACGTACATATGCTAGGTTCCGTAACGCTATACAGGGTATGGCCTTATCTACCCCCTGAATGCCCTCAACAAATCATTCATTTTCAGTTTATGACATGTTATCACCCGTTTAGGTTAGGTGGCACGCTTCCGCCCCGCATACCTAGCTACCCCTCGTCCCCTCCAGCAACCCCTCCCTTAGCGGCCCCCGTTGCGCCCACACCCCCCCCCCCCCCCCCCTCCCCCCCCCCCCCTCCTCCCCTCCCCCCTTCTTCTTAGCGCCCCCCCCT